GCCCCAACACCTACCCCTTCTCCGGCCCTTCCAAATCCGAAGCCCAAAACCCCTAACCCCAATACCCACCCAAATTCCCCTTCCCCAACCCCGAACCCAATTCTCCCAAGCCCAACCCCCACAAACCCGAGCCCAATTCCATCAACCCAACTTCCAAACCCCACCCGCCCAACTCCCAAAGCCCAAAACCCGGATCCCCCATCTCTCACGCCAACTTATGGTGCGCATGGCTTCCCGGTGGACGCAAATGGTTGTATCATTCCTGCGACTAAGGATGATGCTGATTATATCGACTTGGTTGCTTTGCAAATACGTGCATGGGAGGTCTTGGCTAACAATCAAACATTTGTGCCGGGTGCCTATGCCCGTCATCCCTATTTGAAATTTGCCGTGGAATGGGCTGCTGAGGAAATGAGGAAGCTACGCTCTCTTCTGGCTGCTAAGGGTGACACGACACATGTTGAAGACACCCCGAAGGCCACGGCGCACGCTGTTTCGGACTCCTCCCCGGCCAATCGTGCTATTGAGCTTTATGGAGAGATTCATTTCTACCCAGTTGATGAGCAAGGTTTTATTATCCCGGTCACTAAAAATGACGAGGATTATCATCCGATGAAGGTCTTGAAGAAGCGTGCTTTGGATCTTGTTTGTAAAGATCGAAACGCTGATTTCAAGAAGGTGGATTATGCACGATACCCAGTGCTGAAAGAAGCCATGAGATGGGCTTATCTCAAGACTTCCATGGACCACCTTAGATGATGTCTTTGGGCCTACATTTTCCTAGCCTTCGGGCCACATTTCCTGTCCTTTGGGGACTTCTTTGTTTAGCCTTCGGGCCTTCATATTTTATCCTTTTTGGACTTTTGTTTTAGCATTTTTGCTTTCTTTACTTAGTGGGTGAGTGGGAGTTATGTTCCCTCCCCCTTATCTTTTATTTCATTTACTTTGCTTAGTGGGTGAGTTGGAGACTTGTTCCTTCCCCCCCCCTTTATTTATTTATGCGAATAAAACTGCTTTTACTTTAAAAAAAATTAAAAAAAAAAGATTATGAATTATGTTACATTTGCAAAAAAAAAACCCTAAACCCTAAACCCTAAAAAAACCCTAAACCCTAAACCCTAAACCCGGAGGGTTCGCCTCTCCTAGCGGAGTGTGAGTATATAAATACCCGCGAACGCACACACAGGAGATGACGGCGGCGAGCGGAGTTGAGGTTCCGGCGAAGAGGCAGAGAGAGGACGAACCGAACGGAGGCTCTGTCCCTGTCGAGATGGAGGCTTCCAACAACTCCACCATCTGCGGCGGCGGCGCAGAGGAGCTGCCGTGTTTCTCCTCCGTAATCCCCGGCTGGTTCTCTGAGATTAGCCCTATGTGGCCCGGAGAGGCGCACTCTTTAAAGGTTGAAAGTATACTGTTCAAGGGGAAGTCAGATTTCCAGGATGTCTTGGTGTTTCAGTCTTCTACTTATGGTAAAGTGCTTGTTTTGGATGGTCTGATTCAACTCACGGAGAGAGATGAATGTGCATATCAAGAAATGATCGCTCATCTCCCACTTTTTCAGAACCCGAAGAAGGTACTGGTTATCGGGGGAGGAGATGGTGGTGTCTTGCGTGAAGTTTCTCGCCATTCTTCTGTTGAGCAGATAGACATATGTGAGATTGATAAGATGGTAGTCGATGTTTCCAAACAATTTTTCCCTGATGTAGCTGTTGGATATGAGGATCCACGGGTAAACCTCCATATTGGCGATGGAGTTGAATTCTTGAGGAACGCAGCTGAAGGAACTTATGATGCCATTATAGTGGATTCTTCTGACCCCATAGGCCCTGCAAAAGAGCTGTTTGAAAAGCCTTTCTTTCAATTGGTGGCAAGGGCTCTTCGTCTAGGAGGAGTTGTATGTACACAAGCTGAGAGTATATGGCTTCACATGCACATAATTGAAGATATTGTGACAAACTGCCGCCAAATTTTCAAAGGCTCTGTCAACTATGCGTGGACTACCGTTCCTACGTATCCAAGTGGGGTTATGGGTTTCATGCTTTGTTCTACCGAGGGCCCAACGGTTGATTTCAAGCACCCAATCAACCCAATAGATCATCTAAATGGCGCCGAGGCAAAAGTGCCTCTCAAATTCTACAACTCCGAGATTCATTCTGCCGCTTTCTGTTTGCCATCATTTGCAAAGAAGGTGATTGAATCGAAGGCGAAATGAATGTGCAATGGAGTTCTTGGGGCTTTTTTTATGTTCTTGCCTACATACTATAAGCACTCTCATTTATTGAATATTTGTACACTTTTTTGTTTTATGGATTTAGGGGTGGGTTATTTTCTCATTTGTTAAAAAAAACCCTAAACCCTAAACACTCATGTGTCCAAGTCTATCATGCCATAGACTTGAACTAGAAACACCATCAGCATCAGCAGCCATGTTAATACACCCTGTAGTGGTGTACAAAGTTCCAAAATTTGTGCCTCGTGCTACAACCATAGCACCTTTCACAATCTTCCAAGAACCTTTCCCAAACTCTGCTGCATAGCCCGTGTTATCCAACTGACCAATAGAGATCAGATTCTTCTTGAAACCAGGAATATATCAACATCTTTCAACGTCCATTGATTTCGTGCTGGTGTTTTTATGGAGACATCCCCTTTCCCTTCAATCACCAAGGCCTTGTTATCAGCAAGATACACCTTTCCAAAATTTCCAGATTTGAAATTTTGGAACAACTCCTTGCTT